TTGGCAGTATTTTTCTAAATATTCCAGTAAAAGTGTCTATGCCGGCGCGAAGCGCCGGCTCGAGCGAGAAAGTCCCGTGCGGTCCCCGCACCAATCCGCTAAGCGGATGGGGGGGCGAAGCCCCCCAAATGCCGGCGCGTAGCGCCGGTACGCGGCGCGAAGCGCCGCGCATAAATTGGCCGGAGGCCAATTTTTTTCATATTCGTCAGTTTTCAGTGATTTTGAAGTTACTGTACATCCCCATCGACAAGAAATTTACTTCATCGGCGATTATGCGGATTGGATTAACTAATTTATGCCCACATTGCAGAGCAGTATTACTGGCGATGGGAACCGCCATCACTTTTCATTGATTGTTTCTAAGTTTTTCGTATGTGAGAATTTTTCAAGAAGTTCTACGAGTTCAAAACTTTTATAGGCATTGTAAAGATGTTGGATTTTTAACAGTTATTCGTTTTTGTGCGTTGATTTTGAGATTGAAGTTGCTAAAAATGCGACAGGTAAGGTCGCGAAGCAAGTAATCAGGAGTCCAAGGGGCGCACCTCCTGGCAAGGTGCGGAGGCAAGTAAAGTGAGCTGAGGCAGCTAGTTTCTATAATAAATGCTATACTGACGAGTGTGATTTGCAGTCAATTGGAATTTTGGAAATGTTTAAATATGCATATTCATTTCTAAAAAAATCAAAAGACACTTTTAAGATAAATTCATGATCGATAGGTGACATTGCTATGATTTTGATCTTACGGTATAGTTACGATTGTGCGATATAGAATATGAATTTTGACTTCATGATAGGTGACATTGTCAGGATTTTTATCTGCAATATAAGGATAAGAAGGAAAAAAAACTTACCAAAAACGTAACAAAGGTAGGCTGCAATAATGTGTATTAGGACAACTGTTTGAATGATACTTGTGTCAGCCTCGATTTCAATGGAATCGCCGGTGGGAATGATATCATTGAAGTCTGGTAATAAAGATGTGCTGTATGTTTGCTTTATCTGAAAACAGAATCGTAGCATGCATTTTATTAGAGAATGCTTCTGTAAAAGAGAAAAAAATTTCATTTCTAAGAAGAGGACTTGTAAAACCGCCTGGCAAAATGATGACTACAGTAATCGACAACTCTTAAATCAGAAATCAAGATCTCACAAGACAAAACGACTGATTAATCCATTAACTTTCTTTTGGGAAGAGTTCTAATCTATGGTAAGATACACTTTCAAAGACTCAATACTTGGAATTGTCAGAGCAATTGAGAATTTTTAAATTTGTAATGAGACTTTAGAGCTAGAGAAATCAGGAATTTGATCTCCTCATATTAGGGTTACTGCTAGGGTTACTAGGGTACTGCTAGGGCTGCATACTAGGGTTACTCCTCATATTAGGGTTACCTCCTCAATATAGGGTTACTGCACTTCATCTGTAAGGTCCTCGACATTCTTTAGTATGTACCTGTACAAATGAAAATCTTCACTCACAGTCTCTTTTTTGATAATGCTACTCAGGAAGACCTGACAAACAACAATCAGTTGAGGAGTTTTTGATGGTAAAATGAGTAAGTGGCGCCCATTTTTCTTAAAACTAATTTCTTGAAAGTACAGAGTGAACTAAGCTTCTAGGAATTTTTTTAGATTTTTCTAATCCTATTGGCAAAGAAAACCTGTTATGAAAATGCTAATAATGGGACCCGTTATTTTTGGCAGGCTCTAATGACGTAGCCCAGTAGGGAAACTGCGCTTGCTGATTGGCGGAACTCAACTTCATGCATAGCCTTGTTATGTTAATTCGAATATCAAGTTTTGACAGTCGGATTTTGATTAGCTTCCCTTCCTAGGAAATGCTTTTTTGAACTTTTCAATGACCCTTCTTGTTTTTTTCACAAAACTTTACAGCAGTAAAACTATACTCTGACCCTGCAGAAGGAAAGAGGAGGAGGCTTATCTTTAATTTTGGAGCATTTGTAACTTTCATTCAGCATTTACATTCCTTTAGAGGAATTATTTTTTTCAAAACCCTAGATCTATCTTTCCCTTGCATAGTTTTTGTGACTTACTATCAATTTTTTGGAAGAGTAATAGAATTAAAGCATACCATTAAAATTGAGTTATCAGGTCCACATCAAATGCAAAAACCGACAGGTAAAATCAGCGTCTTGGTGTATTGCTGAAGGGTTGATTGGCTTCGGCGAGCTTGGGTCATTTAAATCAGCTCAGTTGCCTGTATTTTGGCCCTTAAACAATGGGCAAAGCCTGTTACTATCACCGCCTCTAGCCCATAGTTCATAGGATTTCTGTAAATATTTTCTTCTACAATTGGTCTGATGCGGAAATGTTTCCATATGCTTGGGAAAAAAATATTTGATACGTAGGTGTAAAAATCATGAGAGAAGTACTTAAATAATTATTGTTAGACATTTTACCTCTAAAATTTTTATCTTATGGTTGCTAAAGCCAGCATGGAAATGTGTTATGAGACCGCTTAGACTTTCTCCACGAATATAGAGAATGAAGAGCATAGAACAGAAGAAGCACACCATCTTCCAAACTGAGATAAACATGTACAGGAAATACCGGGTTCTCTTCAAACGATCTTTCACTCGCCATGCAGATTTCATGAATCCTGTGGAAAAAAACCGAGAAAATATGCAGAGTACTTAAAAAATACCATTCCTGAGAACCTGAGTTTTGCAGAAAAAGTTTTGGTCCTAGAACCTCCTAAAGCTTCGTTTCCACAATTAAAATGGGTTGTCAATGTGTCTGTTGAGTGTCTGCTGTGTGAGAAAAATTTAGAGGTGCCTTTAAATTTTGATCAACATTAATTGCAAACAGAGTATCAAAAGACATCTACACCATTCTCTGTTCTTGATTTATGTTGATCAAAAATTACAGGTTAGAGGTTAACACTCAACAGTCACACCATTGACCCATTTTGATTGTGGAGATCAAGCTTAAGATCTTTGCTGCCTCACTGCAATTACAGCTGAATAAAAGGTACATACCTAGTTTTTTCCCATGGATGAAAAATTTTACAGGGAGATTTGAAACTCCCGCACCATCCAGATTACTTTTTTGCAAATTGAGGTATCAAAGAGAAACTTTGTTGGTGTTTTTAAGTCAAAGGGAGTTACTTTTTGGCCCTTGAAGGGAGTTACGTGTTGGCTCTCAAAGGGAGTTACTTTTTGGCCCTTAAAGGGAGTTAATTTTTGGCCCTACAAATTTTGAAGAGGATTCTCACTCTTTTTACCCGTTTGACAACACCTACTTTGCATCATTGGAGAGCAAGAAAAGAACATTTTTGACAAAGAATTTGGGTCTTTATCAATCATCGTTTTAGAATCGCCGAAAACAGTATCTCTCTGCAACCTATGGAAATATTCAGTTATGGTACCTGGGAGGAGGGGGAAGGTTTGGAACACTGAAGATAAATTTGTTTCTATCTAATTATCCTGACTACTTTAAAATAGGATATTTTTCCAGCTTCCCAATTGATTTTCTTCAAACTGGGTATCCAGAGATTTCTTGAAACGTTGAATACGAATTTGACACTACTTTTTAAAAATACTCTATCATTTCAAGATAGCAGCTTGGTTTCAGAAAAACATCAGTTTTTTGCTTGTAGTAGGCAACCATGTTGACGAGAATTGTGTATTTTGAAAATGGAAAACTAGAGTCTAATTTGTACCTTACATTTCAAAAAACCCTAGAACTAAGTTTGAATCCATCTGGGGACTGAAAAATATCAGTTGCCTACTATTTTTACATAAACTGATTGCGGTAGATGCACTCGTACAACAGTATGTTGGAGTTGTTGGTGCTCAAACGAGCTTTTTTCCTCTGTATTGAGATTTTCAGCTTTGTGCTGAATTTTTAACGCTCGTTGGCTAAAAACTCCAAAATACTATTTTTGGGTCCCCGTTTTGAAGTGGATTGGATATTTTGAAAAATTAGCATTAAATTCTTATTTGATGTTCCAAAAACCATATGATGCCAAGTGTGAAGCAAATCTATTAATGAGTTGCGAATATACTTGATTTGCCCATTTAGACTGGCCGACAAGGGCAAGAGAGTGACAACTGGGATGGGTGCAGAACCAATTTATCACACTGGATGAAGTTTTACTTACCAAAAATTGAGTATTTAGAGGTGTAGTTTTCCCAGTAGCCACAAGAAATGGCAAAAATGGTTGGAGGAATCACCCACATATTGTAATAGGCATCAGCATCCATTAATGGCCATAGAACAAAACCAGTGGCTTGTGCGGCCAGAGCAATGAAATCCATGGCTGCTTTGGCATAAACTTCGGATTTATCCGATCTTGTCACACATCCTCTGGTATTACGAGAAATTAAACCTGGAGGACGAAGTGATATGAATTTCTTTGAAACTGATACAGGATACAAAACGAATTTGCAATTAAAAACAAGCATGAGGTTTTCCACTTTAACGAGGAAGCTTTATTACATACATCCTTTTTCAACTTGTTTGAAGTCTAAAGATTGTGGCTGGACAAAGATGGTGGAGAAAGTTGCTGGGGCTTACTAACTTTTTCCGTCCTTCACTGCTAAGTCCTTGATTTGATGATTTCATGTTACAAGCTTTTTGAATATGATGTGCTTTTATTTTATATTGTCATGTCATCTGATTGTATAGAGCGTAGATCCAGCCAAAAAAGGAGATGACAGAAATCACTTTTCCTTTCCACCATCACATTAAAAAAATTAAGAACCAGTCTCTCAAGTTTAATTCTGGTATACTTCTGAACTGTGTGGATCAATGATCTGAATAATGTTGATAAGGATAATAATACCAAACAAATTTCTGATACATACTAACCAAAACAGTGGTCCACAGAAGGTTAGTGAAAAATCTTAGAGCTCACTGGTTTAAAAGTGACAGTATTATGCTCATTCGGATAAACCCTGAGTCTCATATTTTCTGGTGGTTGATGGCTGTTTTCACCTCACTAATAATGCTGATTTGAAAGGGATGAATAAATCAAAAAGATCTGCCCTTCTTGAGCTTTTAGGTACATTCAGATCAAAGATTTAATTTTAAAAAAATTAAAAACGTGGGTAGAGCATGGTCTCCTTAAATTACCTATAAAATTGTTCAACTTTCAAGATTTGAGAACAAAACACCACGGCCGGATCTAGGTTTCATGTAGGGGGGGGAGGTGCAAGCTTAAATTTTGACGCCCCCTATGCCAAGGGGTCGGGGGGGTATCGGTCTGGGCTCCTATGCGGAGATCGGGGGTCCTCTCCCGGGAAAATTTCGAAAATTAAAGCGTACCAGACGGGTGTTTTCGGCAGTTTTTGACCAAAAACAGATGTAATTAGGTTTGATTTTTGAGGTTACAAGGAGTGGTTTTGACGCATGTAAAAATACTTATCGAGACCCTTAGTTTTAATAAAACTTTGCATCAATCTTCATTGTCTGAAGATTCTAGCGAACGTACATCTAGTACTAGTAGGCATAGCATAGATAAATCTATCACCAGTATGCCTAGCATAGATAATCTTTCTAACACTCTGAATTTATCTGAAATTACTACTTTCAACTCTACTTTTTTGCTTGATCCTCTGATTAATTCAATAACTATTTCCATGTGTCCCAACCCTAATCTTAGACCTTCAAATTATACCATTGAACTCACCAAGTCAATGTCAAATCTTGATTTTAAAGTTATGAATGACTCAGTCATTATATTTAAATTCTAGTTCAAATTATTCTCATGAAAGTCAAAATTTTATCAAACCTGTATAAGTGTATACCCTGAGATTTCTTCTTCTGCTAAAATATCTTCTATTAGCCTTACATCAAGTAGTGATACTTTCAATTCTTCTATCATTCATCCTGTTACTTCAGACTCTAAATCATACATTCTTGAAAATCGAAATTTAGTAACTACATTTTTCCTGAATTTAAAAACAAAACCTTCAATAGGTAACTAAAAACACTAACATGCGTTCAAGTCACTTATTTCATGATATTCAACAGCACTCAAGTCATCCTTCACTAATGGTGGCAGAATAAATATTTGATAATGAAATTTTCTGGCTTTTCTAGGTTTTCTAGGACTTTAGAATGTTTGTCACCATGGAAGTAAATTTAAGGGAAGAAACTTACTGAGCAATGCAGGTAAGAAACAGAGACAATTAGTCAGCATGGCACCTTTGACAACGTCCATATTAGGAAGTATATAAAAGACTAGTGAGGCAACACCAATAACGTGAAGTGTCTCCATTGTGAAAACAAGAAGAAAATCCCTGAGTAAAGGTCGCCTCCAAGATTTAAAGAAGCATATTCTTAGAGAGCGAAATAGAGTTCCTAGTTCAGGGACTAAAAATGCAAAAAGGAGACACCAGGTCCATGCAACACGTTCTTCTGCAGGTATACTTGCAACAAATTGTTTATCACGACCTGAAACAGAAAAATAAATTCATTAACTCAACTTTGACACCTAGGAAGGTGGTGATAATTATCAGACTGGACAATGAACTTTACTTAAAATTTTGTTCCAGCGAATCTTCTAGGGTGTGTTCGTCATTTTGAAGAGACAAGTCACTGCTGAGTTTCTAAATTCAGATTCTCACTATTAGGTGGATTTTAAATTAGACATAGTGCTACAATTCAGAAGGACTGGAAGTTTTAATAACGTAAATCTCACTCTGTAATATAAAATTATAAGCCCCCCCCCCTTCCCAACATTCGCTTACCCAAACCATTCCAAAGAGAGGGCGTTTTAAAAAGATCCTTCGTATATGACCACACTTCATTAAACATGGCCGGTCCTGATTGGTGTTTCATCAAAAAATCTGATGTTGATAAAGAATTTGAGGACTTCATCCATTAAAAAAAAGCAAACGAAGTTTGCAATGCTGTTAAAATTGTGCAATTTAATCTACAAACCATTTGTAGGAAAAAAGTTACTTTGCTTCTTACTATTACAGAGAAAAAATGAAAAATTCACAGTATGTTGAGGGAAAAATTTAGAACAAGGTTGTAGAAATATTCATAGCGAAGTTGGCAGGTAAGTCAATGGTAGAGCAAAATTACATCACACAATTTCAGTCATTGAACGTAAGAAGATATTATAACCACTCAAGTCCTCAAATTCTCTATGGATGACTATAAACGTCCTCTCTAATGGCACAGATAATCAATGAAAGCATCTTTAAATTTATCTACTCTCAGGCAGCGAGGATCCAGGAGGGAAAACTTGCCTCTAAACCTCACCCACCCTCAGAGCACCATATTTTTAACCATAAGTAACCATATTTTAAATGAATGAAAACATTGAAATTCATAAAATGGAAAAAAAAGTTAGCTCACTGATAAGATCAAAGAAAACTGTATGCACGGACAACAAACATTGACGGTGTAAGTCGGCAATCACCCAACTCGGTTTGCGACATCACAGACTTCCTGTCATACTTTATTTTTCAAACGGAAAACTACTCAACAGCAATTCTTTAAAACTGCCGTAATTTATCTTCTCTGTGCAGTTGAAATTCTGCATAAACTTCAAGGAATAATGTCAATTTGTTCTCCTTGAGAAAAATAACATAAAGGTGGAGATTTTCAGACACCGCAAACAAGAAATGTGATACGGACTTACGCTGTCGACACATATTAAAGCAAACAGTTGGAAAACAACTTAAGGAGAGGAGCAATTTTTTGATGCCAAGATACGTCAATGTCAACCAATCTTCCAGGTATGCAGGCAGACTGCAGTAATATTTTATGTACCTAAGTCTGTATATGGCGTAGGACTCATTTGGTGTCTGTTAACGAGAAGGAGATTAAAATAAAAAAGATATTAGAGGGTCAATTGTCGAGGAGCTTCCTCAACTGGTTGCAAGATTCTGTAAAAAGTAGTAAAGTATGTAACCATCAAAATTAAGAAAGGATGGCAACTTGAAGGCAAGCACTTTGATGTGGATGTGACCTAACATAGCACTAAAGTACGTACTTAGTCACAGGACATACACTTGAAATATCTTAATCCGGAAAGGTGCAGTGCTTGAATGATCTGTGACAAACTTCTAATAAAATCATGACAATGGGCATGAAATTGGAGATTATATAATGAAAGACTAAATACACTAAAAATTCAACTGGATACATATATCTCATATATCTTCCTTGATCTTCCTCAACAATCTTCCTTGATGTTTGTTTACTTTATGTCATAGAGTACAATAGCAGGGACCAGTTCTATGAGACCATGAGACCCTGGACTCGCGTAAGAGCCAATGTAAAAATTCGTGAGCAGGTACTAGTGCTGCTATCTCGCGTAGGACCCTCGCAACTCACTGCTGTTATCAGTTGTTGGACTTCACAAAAATCTGTAGGATCACGTATATCTGCAAAAACTCGCATTTTTCACCTTACTATTATTTGCGGCCGATTATCCCATGTCAGGAGGGGTCGAAAAACGCCCAAAATATACTTATTCTTCAAGAATTCAGCCCAAAGACATAAAGACGGAGCAGGGGCGGACTGGGACGAAAAAAGTCACCGGGAAATGTACAGCCAAACCGGCCCTCAAACCAAATGGGGGTCGGGGGGACACTCCACAGAGAGAGGGGGGTCCGGGGGCCCTCCCCCGGAAAAATTTGGAAAAATTAGCACCTCAAGAAGCCATTTTTAAGCGCGAACATACGCAATTAGAGTCACAAAATATTTGCAAAGTTGGCTGCGACCGTGGAGCATAAAGCAGCAGCCCCGTGGAACAATGGAGGCCCGTGGAGCCTCACCCTATTTTATGAGAAAGTGACGGTTCACTAAGATTTTATCCCATTTCTCCACATACCTTTAGACTATGGAGATAAAAAAAGAAAAAATGAAAGAAATTAGTAGTAGTAGTAGTAGTAGTAAGATAAGTTTATTTTAAAGCGGTGCTTTAGCATCTACGGCCATTTACACCTCTGTGTGTTCACATGGAAATCAAGGTTACGTCAGTGAAAATACAAAAGGGTTGAGGGGGAAGGTTAAGTTTTAAGAAAGAAAGAAAGAAAGAAAGTAGTAGTAATACAAGTTTATTTTAAAGCGGCCCAAAATACCAACCGGCCCACCGGGATTTTTCCCGGTATTCCCGCCTGCCAATCCGCCCCTGAGACGGAGGGCTAAAAGCAAAAAATGAAGCTTCTTTTCAACTAGAGTCCCTTTATACTGAGAGTCAAGACAATTTGAATCCATTTCTGATTGGTTCCCGTATTTTAGGCCTTCACAGTGTCACAAACGGGAATAAAGATTACAGTTTCACCGATTGCAAAGATTATAATCTGGAATGGACCGGGGAATTACGGGTTCGGCAAGGAACAAACGGAATGAGGG